TGGCGGCCTCCCCGAGCGCGGCCCCGCGTCCGTCCTAGGGGGGGGGGCCGGGAGCCATGCGCCCAGGTGCCCGCCGCGTCTTTCTCAGGCCAATTGCAGAGCATCGACATCTGCGTCTGGGACGCCTGACTTACGCACCCGCTCTCCTTGCAAAAAGGAGCACGGAGAGGGATGGGCCCAGGGTTCGAAGGCCGCGATCCGAGGTGTCCGACCTGTCCAACCCATCGGTTAGGCCGAGTGCGTTCAGCGTGCACATCAATGCCAAGCGTGCCAACTCTGGACCGAGATGCGCCGTCGTTCCTGAGTCGCGGTGCCCTGTTTCGTCGGGCTGGTACGAGAAGCATGTTCGTTGCGCATGCTCGGATGTCTGCGATTTCTATAATCTAGAGACGTCTCGTGTCTAGCGCGGGCCGCCCCGAACGCGCGCAACTGCGTTGGTTTGCGCGCGAACGAGCGGCGCGAAGCCGAAGGAAGGAGGAGGTTTGAGATCATGGAGATCAGGGAAGGAGATCTCGCAGGGATGCGCGAGCAATCGAGACAGTCGGAGCTGCGACAACAGGCGGTTGCTGCCCTTTAGTTGGAGCGAGGCTGGGAGGCGATGGCGAGTGCCGCGCGGCGCCTGGGGGGGCGTCGGCAGGCGGCGGCAGCCGAGCAGGCTTCTGCAGCAACGGCGGAAATGAAGTCGCCAACAGGCTGGGGATTGCAGTTGCCTCCGAGCGCCAGGCGCGACTTCAGGGAAAAGCACGTCGCCGAGGAAGCGAGGCGCGCCGTCCGGGGGGCTGGCGAAGCTCAGCGTGCGACAATGTCGCAAGCGGCCCAGGAGCTACGAGCAGCAGAGGACCGGAACGCGCGGCGAGCCTCGCAGGCGGCCGCTGCTGTCAAGCAAGCCGGGACGGACCGTGTCGCCACAAGTGAGAGCCATGCTCGCGCCGCGGCTGGAACGCAACGTGCTCGCGAGGAGACGCGACGAATCGAAGCGAATGCCGATGGGGGAAGTCGCAGCGAATGCTCGCGCGGCGGAACAGATGGCCGCTCAGACGATGGAGAGCAGAAGAGCTGGGATGCTGAACGGGTCAAATTGCATCGCGCGCTAAATGAGCATCACATGCAGTGGAACCCGATCGGGGTGTCCTCAGCGGCGTCGTCGGCGACGGGGCCAGCAGCGGCGTCGAGTGCAGCCGCTGCGCCAGATGCAGCGTGGCCAGCCCCGCCAGCGATTCGGGGGCCCGCCTCGCGCGGGAATTCGGGGCGCAAGCCCTATGTGGGAGCCTTGTGGTGTTTCGCGTGCTCCAAGATGGTTGCTCGCGACGGCGCCTTATGCAACAGGGGCGTTTCTGACGAACGCTTCGCGCTGGGCGGCGAAGGGCGCGCGCGCGCGCTGCCGCGGGGGGCATTCAAATGCGAGGAACAATTAAGCTGGGGAAATGCATCGGGAGTAAGGGGGTAACGAACGTCAGGCGAGGAAGAAGCTCAAGGAACAGAGTGCCACTGCGTCTATGCCGAGGGCCAGCTCTCGCGATCGATTGCCTCGGCCCGCGCGCGCCCGCGGCCGTGCCTCAGGAGCCGACGGCCGTCGGATCGGGAACGTCGAAGCGAAGGGGTCGCTTGAGTTCGAAGAGGCCGCGAGGGCCGAGAATGAGAAACTCAAGGAGATGCGCGAGCAGGCTGCGCGGCGGGAAGGGGGCCGCGCCGGGGCGCGCGCTGAACGTAAAAGTGAGGATCCAAGAAACGCGCGAGAAACGGACGGAGGCGGCTGCTGGTTCGGCGCGGCAGCCCCAGGAAAAGGAGAACATAGCCGAGCAATATGCCCGGGCGCAGGAGGACTTGAACACCGCCCCAGAGACAGCCCGCGCCGGCATTGCGACCTCTCCCCCGGGATGCGCGCCTCCGGCGCCGGGGGATTTGCCGAGCATCTTCGAACATAAAGATAAGAAAGATGCAGCGACTCCCCCAAGGAAGGCACCGGCGCCGAAGCATCCAGGCTCAGGCCTTCCTGGCGATGATGGCGGAGAAGGCGATGATGGCGAGGGCGATGGTGACTTAGATCTTGAAGACGAAGGATGCCCGACGTTTGACGGAGAAGAGGATGACGACCCAGACCGTCGGCGCTGGCGTGGCGGAGGACCGCCTGGGGGCGATCCGCCGGGAAGCGGCGGCGGCGGAGACGGCGCCCCCTTCCCGTTGATGGACGCTGCCCCCACCGTTGCGCAGCACTGGAATGACGCAGGCAAGGCGGATAACATTGTTTTGGAGGCAATCCCCGACGCTGCCAACTACCAGCGATGGCGGCGCAATGCGGTCTGGACAGCGGCGTCGGCTTCGCTGGATTGTGAGGAAGTCGTTGTTTGGATAGCGGGCGCTTTTGAGCGTTGAGGCGAAGGGGCTGGAAGAGTCCGGCCACTTCGTCCGACTTGACCTGATGATCGCAGCCGACCTCATGTCAAAGGTCAACCAGATAGTTCGAGACAGGCAGTCTTCGCCCCAGCTTCGCCATCCCCAGCCGCCAGACGCATGGCGAAACGTCGTGAGATTCTAGGCATCATTGCCGCGCATGTGACCACCTGCCAGGGTCACGGCCAGGTGTATACACACGTGGACCATATGGATATTAAGGTCCGTGGCGCGGAAAGGGAGGCGGATGGCGACCCTTTCCACTTCCATGACGGGCGGGCGGGGGCACTTGACGAGATGGAGGAATTGGGCGACTCCTTCCGCCCCGCGATACAGGGACATTTCTACCGCGAAATGCTGAAGTGCCCGCGCATGCAATGTACCCTTGCGATCCATGACGACTGTGGCGATGAGCAAG